GGGAATTAACTTCCCGCTAGAACATGGCCAGATGCGCCCGCCACATTTTTTCGACAGTGGTGTGGCGATGCCCACGGACCGCCGACACCGTGGACCGAGCGCCAAACACAGGTGTGCCTGCATCTGGCCATGTTCTAGAGGAATGTTCGTTCCCATTCAAACAAAATGCAAAAAAAAAGTGTCTTTTTATCTTTTGTTTTTTTTTTTGTCCTTTTTTTGGAAAAATTTTTGATATGCCCCTCAAAGTTCGATTTAGTTGCAGCGTGCCCCTCTAACGACTTACTTACCCTGCAGCGCTCCTTTGACAGAGATTGAAGTTTCTGGAAAACCCCTGATGTCGTTTCGGCCTGAAATATGTTTAATATACCCCTATGTAACCGTTTAAACGTCGTGAACGTGCGTTCGCGTTCAAATGTGCGTTTGAACGCGGATTTAAATTCGCATTCAAAATTGAACGGCGTTCAACTATTTTTTTTTTTTTTAAGTTTTTTTTTTTTTTTTTTTTAATGCCGTAAAATATTTTTTTTTTTTCTGAGTTTTTTTTATGAGTTCTCTATGGTGTGGGGTACATGCCTGTTCATTTTGGAGTCATTTTGCTAAGGTAAACAAAAAATAAAAAATCGCCAAAGGTGGCGGTGTCAAATCATGTTCGCCCACTCATTTTTTTACTTTATATTTTCTGTTTTCACTTTTTTTCGCCACCTAAAAAAAATTATTATTTTTTTACACTTTTTTCATGAGTTTTGTATAATATGAAGTACACATCTGTAAAGTTTAAGGGCATTTGGCTCTGCCAAAAAACAATAAAAAGTCACCAAAGATGGCGGTGTCAGAAACGTACTCGCGCACTCACTAATTGTAATTCTCTTTTTACTTTTTTCTATTTTCGGTTTTCTATTTTTATTTCCAATTTGGTAATGAATTTGGATGTAATGCTCGAGCAAATGTTGTTTATTTTATTTTTCTTCATAACATTTTGTTTTTTCGGAATTTGTTGAGTTTTTTTTTTCCCCCCGCGAAATTGAACTCCGCGTTCGGTCGCGTTCATTGCACGCGCGTGCATTCCGTTCAGTTTCTAAACGGAAAACCCACGTTCAATGAACGCGCGGTTTCATAGATATACCCCTACCTATACCGGTTCCAAATTTTTAGTATGCCTCGGTAGCTCCCCTCCCAGAGCCGGGGGAAAGATCGCGTGTGCCACCAACGACCATAGGGGCATGTTGGAAAGTTGCTACCCTCACTAAGACGGGCCTGCAGGAAAGTTCAGAGGCCCCAGGGGCACAACAGGGTAAGTCGGTCGTCAGAGGGGCACGGTGCAAATTAATTGAACTTTCAGGGGCATAGCGAAAATTTTCCCTTTTTTTTTGTTTTTTTTTTTGTTTTTTTTTGGACGGACGCAAAAAAATATAAATTGACGGGGAAAAAAAAAAGAAAACGGAAAGTCTTTTTTTTTTGGGGAAACAAAACGAAAACAAAAGGCAAGAAAAGGAAACAAAACGACACGCCAAAACGAAAAAATAAAAGTATAATAATAATAATAATAATGACAATAATAATAATAAAATATAAAATAAAATAAAAACTTGACACAACATTATCCCCATGTTCGTCCAATGCGGCATAGGATTATGCCTGTCTCTTATACACATCTATATGTGTTCTCTCTCTCTCTCTCTCTCTCTCTCTCTCTCTCTCTCTCTAGCAAAACAATCAATCAATCAATCAACCAATCAATCAGTGAATCGATTCAATAAACTGATCGATCGGTTAATTGATTGGTTGATTGATTGATTGATCAATGGAAGAAGAAGAAGAAGTAGAATCCCCGTTTTTTCCCTACACGTACATGATCGGGATCGAGGTCCGAGAGGTTCGGGATGGGGGTCAGAGAGGGTTTTATAAAAGCAAAAAAAAAAAAAAAAAAAACGTAAAAAAAAATCACGTGGCGGTTTGCCACGTATCAACTACACGGATAAGAAGGTCCGTTGAAAGGCGCACAGGAGAATGACAGTTGCCATGTGGCGCGCAGCGGAGGGTAGGCGTTCCCACATGCCACGCGTCCAGCACAGGAGGATAACG